ACAACAACAACCTGCCTTTCCTGACCGGACTGGGCGGTAGCACGGGGAGCGTGTTCAACAACAACGGCAACAACTTGGTGAGCGGAGGGAGCGGTTTCCCGGTGACAAACACGAACCAACTTCCGGAGGGAATGACACTGCAAAAGGTGATGTTTGGGACAATGAGTGTGTTCGATGATGAGCTGACAGAGGGTGAGGAAATGGGTTCGGGTTTGGTGGGTAAGGCGCAGGGCTTTTACATTGCGAGCGCTGTTGATGGAACCAGCCAGCTCATGGCTTTCACTGCTAAGTTCCAAGATAACGCTTACGCTGACAGTCTCTGCTTCTTTGGCGTCCATCGTACTCAAGTTTCCCAATCTCAACTTGCCATCATTGGAGGGACTGGCAGATATCTCAACGCACAAGGCTATGCCATCATCAAGACTTTTCCGCTTTCCCCTAATCAGCAACACAATACTGATGGCGTCCAGACTCTCCTGCAACTCACTGCATATCTTTCCTATTAATTACTTCACTGCTTTAATTTTACTCTTTCTATTTCCTTTCCGTCTCTCATCTCTTCAATCCACTCTCTTGTCTAGTGTGAGTCAAAGTTGGTTTTCCCGGTCATAATTGGGTTCATTTTCACCTGTATCTATCTATGACTTGGGATTTATCTGCCATGCATACTTTAATTTGTTAGTAATTAATGGGAATGGATGAAATCATTGTTGGAAAAATGATTTTCTTTTATTAATTAATGGGAATGCAACTTTGATATCCATCGTTAAAAAGATAAATGTTAGCGGACACTTTTTTTTCTATGTGAATATGGTTTATGTAATATTATAAAATTGATAACTAAAAATTAATGTTTAGTTATATAATGAAATTTTTACTGGTCAAATATTATATTAACATTAATGAGAATTAAATTTAAGAGAACTAGTTTAACTCATCATTAGGTCAAGAGTTTAGTTCAATATACTCTTTAACATATTTTTTTAAACACACTTTTAATTGAATACAGTTTATTGAAATACACAAAATTTAGAAGATTTGACATCTTAGTATTTAATTATTCTTCCTCTTAAATTTATAATTTTTTAATAAATCAATTAATAAAAGCGAATGAGTTAAAAATATTATAATAAAAACTCCATTTATTAAAAATACAAGAGAATTACATACTAAGAAAAATTCATCAAATGATCATGAATAAATTAAGATAAATTTAACACTATATTTTAGGAGGAAACATTAAAATCGATAAGCTTATAGGTCATTCTCAACATATACGTTATTCAACATACCTATTTGCAATATCTACATTAGGACTCTTTCATCCACACTCGTACATCGAAAAATTATGTATTGCAGATTGGAAGAATAATTTATCACAACGCCTGTGTCATCAAAATAGCTTAATAACTTGTATAATTGACATAAATGGTTTTAAGCGCACGCTAACAAACCGGTGTTGTAGTGGTTCAACTTCTTCTCTGTTCTCTAATCTTCTGCTTACTAAAATGAAAACTCCAACAAAACCAAACCAAATTTGTGTAACATAAATTAAATCAAAAGTCATATCTCATAAATATTTATATCTGATAAAAAAAAATAGTATTGCTTCTTTTCCTACAAAGTACAAACAATATCAAGGATAAAACAATATTTTTTTCCTACAAACAAATAGCAT